GGAATTCCCTACACCTCTGCTGTAGTAGACGGACAGAAAATATGGCATCTGTGCAGGACCGCCCTTTGCTGAAACCGCATTGGGGCTCCGTAAGCCTGTCCTCAGCGTGCCTGGCAAGGCGATGTTGAATAATCCTTGCCAGGACCTTTCCCGGCACACTGAGTGAGATGCCCCTGTAGTTGTTACAGTCTGTGCGGTCCCCCTTCTTAAAGAGGGGGACCACCAGGGCATCCTTCCAATCCTGCGGAACCTGTCCAGTGGTCTAGACTGTTGTTATGATGTCATATAGGGCAGTCTGTGCACAAACGCCACACTCCCTCTGCATTTCGCTTGGGAGATCATCTCTGCCCGCTGCCTTTCCTGGTCTCAGACTTCCTCAACAGATGGCACCTCAGCCAGCCACTCACAGGGGGTGACTTCTTCCAATATTTGAGGCACTGCAGCCTCAGCAGGATCATCCCCACTTTGTGCCACGAAGTTTTCCTGGCTGCGGGATTTTCCCTCCCCCAGGACCTCACAGAAATGCTCAGCAAATCTGCAAACCTGTTCCTGGGGGTCGGAGATTGGATCACCGTTTTTTCCCCGAATGATGGTAATAGGTGTGGCGCTGCAGGTTACTTTTTTGATGGAGTCAAATAGAGATTTGTGATCTCGGGCCACTGAGGCAGACTATCTCCTCAGCAACCCGCGACCACCACCCATCCTTGCAGGCGCCTCACGGCTCTCCGAACCTCCGAGCGAAGGCTGCGGTAAGCCTCCTCATTCTCTGACGTGAGATTCTGTAGCCGATGACAGTGGGCCTGTCACTTTTTCTCAACCATCCTGAACACCTCCTCTGTCAGCCAGGGTCTCTGGGGAGGTCTGGACCGCGTACCCAAAGCAGCCATTGCACACTGACACACACCCTGACACACACACTGACACTGACACACACACTTACACACACTGAATCACACACTCACACTGACACAACAACAACCGCCATTCACCACTAAGTGGTGGTGACGTCACCACGACGCTTGTGCCAGGCTATGTGCACCCCGAGGCCACGTGAAGTGTCGAACGCCCGCTGGCAGGAGGTCACGGGGCAGACCCAGGTGCCACGGGTCGACTGACTGAGATGACTGGCTGATGCACCACCTGTGCCCCCTACTGTGCCAACCCGCAGTGCTTTAGCCACCCGGCGCTCCGCTCGTTGTTGTGAGCATCGCTCCTACGCCCTCCGTTGTTGTTGGAGGGCGACTGCCTCCAACTGCCCAGTAGCATCCTTCACGAGCCTCCTCCACAGAGGCCGATCTTGACACCGCTGGTGCCGGTCATCGGCAAGTCCACTCAGCTCCACGTCCTCCTGTACCACATCACTCCATCTCTTCTCTAGCCCGTGCCGCGCCCGTTTAGCCCCCTCGATCCGGCCGAACAAAAGCTGTTTCGGCATGCGGTGGCTGGGCATGCGGGCTACATGACCCAGCCATCGCAGCCTTGCCCGCCGGAGGAGCTCACCGATGGGACCTTGCCCAGATCTGTCAAGGATTTGTGAGCTCCTCGCACAATCCACACTGACATTGTATATACTGTACATGCGATGTGTGTGCACTGTACGTACACTGCACATTCACTGTATAAGCAGTATACGTACTGCATGCACACTGTATGTACACGCCGTAGATACTGTACGCGCACACAGTATCAGTGTATAGACATCGCGTACACACTGTAAGTACTGTATAACAAAGTGTGTGTACTGTATAACAAAGTGTGTGTACAGTGCACATACGCGCTGTATATACACTCAGTATACAGTATACACACTGTGTACACTCAGTATACAGTATACACTGTATACGCTCAGTATACAGCATACACACTGTATACACCCAATATACACACTGTATACACCCAGTATACAGTATACACACTGTGCACTCAGTATACACACTGTACACACTCAGTATGCAGTATAGACACTGCACACTCGGTATACAGTATACGCACTGTACACACTCGGTATACAGTATACACACTGTATACACTCGGTACACAGTATACACACTGTATACACTCGGTACACAGTATACACACTGTATACACTCAGTACACAGTATACACACTGTATACACCCAGTATACACACTGTATACACTCAGTATACACACTCAGTATACAGTACACACACTGTATACACTCGGTATACAGCACACACACCGTACACACTCAGTAAACAGTACACTCACTGTACACCCTCAGTATACAGTGTGCACACTGTATACACCCGGTATACAGTATACGCACTGTCCACACACGGCACGCAATATGCGCACTGTACACACTCGGTACACAGTATGCACACTGTATACACTCAGTGTACAGTATACACACTGTGCACAATCAGTATACAGTATACACACCGTATACACCCAGTACACAGTATACACACTGTATACACTCGGTATACAGTATACACACTGTATACATTCAGTACACAGTATAAACACTGTATACAATCAGTATACACACTGTATACACTCAGTATACAGTGTGTACACCGAGTGTATACACTCAGTGTGTGCGTAGTATACGTACACTGTGCAGTTTATACATCACAGACAGTGTATACACGGCATGTATACACTGTACGTACAGTGTATACATGCCGTGTATACACTGTACGTACAGTGCGCGTACATGCCGCGTGTACAGTGCGCGCAGTGTGTACAGTGTCGTCACCTCAGCTCCTCCCCCTTCCGATGGGGGTGGGTGGAGGTGGGGGTGTGTGGGGTGTGTGGGTGGGGGTGTGTGGGTGGGGGTGTGTGGGGTGGGGGTGTGTGGGGTGGGGGTGTGTGGGGGGGTGTGTGGGGTGGGGGTGTGTGGGGGTGGGGGGGCGTGTGGGGTGGGGGTGTGTGGGGTGGGGGTGTGTGGGTGGGGGTGTGTGTGGTGGTGGTGGTGGTGATGGCGATGCTGAGGGAAAGTTGATGATGGTGATGATGATGGTGGTGATGACGGTGATGGTGACGGTGGTGATGACGGTGATGGTGACGCTGAGGGAAAGTTGATGATGGTGATGATGGCGGTGATGATGATGGTGGTGATGGTGATGCTGAGGGAAAGTTGATGATGGTGATGATGACGGTGATGATGATGGTGATGCTGAGGGAAAGTTGATGATGGTGATGATGATGGTGGTGATGGTGATGCTGAGGGAAAGTTGATGATGGTGATGATGATGGTGATGATGATGGTGGTGATGATGGTGATGATGGTAGTGATGATGGTGGTGATGGTGATGCTGAGGGAAAGTTGATGATGGTGATGGTGGTGATGGTGATGCTGAGGGAAAGTTGATGATGGTGATGATGATGGTGGTGATGGTGATGCTGAGGGAAAGTTGATGATGGTGATGATGATGGTGGTGATGACGGTGATGGTGACGCTGAGGGAAAGTTGATGATGGTGATGATGATGGTGGTGATGGTGACGCTGAGGGAAAGTTGATGATGGTGATGATGGCGGTGATGATGATGGTGGTGATGGTGATGCTGAGGGAAAGTTGATGATGGTGATGATGACGGTGATGATGATGGTGATGATGGTGATGCTGAGGGAAAGTTGATGATGGTGATGATGATGGTGGTGATGGTGATGCTGAGGGAAAGTTGATGATGGTGATGATGACGGTGATGATGATGGTGGTGATGGTGACGCTGAGGGAAAGTTGATAATGGTGATGATGGTGATGATGATGATGCTGAGGGAAAGTTGATGATGGTGATGATGGTGATGATGATGGTGATGCTGAGGGAAAGTTGATGATGGTGATGACGGTGATGATGATGGTGGTGATGGTGATGCTGAGGGAAAGTTGATGATGGTGATGATGATGGTGGTGATGGTGATGCTGAGGGAAAGTTGATGATGGTGATGATGACGGTGATGATGATGGTGGTGATGGTGACGCTGAGGGAAAGTTGATAATGGTGATGATGGTGATGATGATGATGCTGAGGGAAAGTTGATGATGGTGATGATGGTGATGATGATGGTGATGCTGAGGGAAAGTTGATGATGGTGATGACGGTGATGATGATGGTGGTGATGGTGATGCTGAGGGAAAGTTGATGATGGTGATGCTGAGGGAAAGTTGATGATGGTGATGATGATGGTGGTGACGCTGAGGGAAAGTTGATGATGGTGATGATGGCGGTGATGATGATGGTGGTGATGGTGATGCTGAGGGAAAGTTGATGATGGTGATGATGACGGTGATGATGATGGTGATGCTGAGGGAAAGTTGATGATGGTGATGATGATGGTGGTGATGGTGATGCTGAGGGAAAGTTGATGATGGTGATGATGACGGTGATGATGATGGTGGTGATGGTGACGCTGAGGGAAAGTTGATAATGGTGATGATGGTGATGATGATGATGGTGATGCTGAGGGAAAGTTGATGATGGTGATGATGGTGATGATGATGGTGATGCTGAGGGAAAGTTGATGATGGTGATGGTGATGCTGAGGGAAAGTTGATGATGGTGATGATGACGGTGATGATGATGGTGATGCTGAGGGAAAGTTGATGATGGTGATGATGACGGTGATGATGGTGATGGTGATGCTGAGGGAAAGTTGATGATGGTGATGATGAGGGGAAGTTGATGATGGTGATGATGACGGTGATGATGGTGATGCTGAGGGAAAGTTGATGATGGTGATGATGGTGATGCTGAGGGAAAGTTGATGATGGTGATGGTGGTGATGGTGATGCTGAGGGAAAGTTTATGGTGATGGCGGTGATGATGGTGATGATGGCGGTGGTGATGGTGATGAGTTGATGGTGATGATGGCGGCGATGATGATGATGATGGTAATGCCGAGGGGAAGTTCATGATGACGGTGATGATGATGGCGGCGGCGGCGACGGTAACGGCGATGGCGATGGTGCCGAGGGGGAAGGTGATGAAGGCGATGATTGTGGTGGTAATAATAATAATGATGGCGACTCACGTCCGTGGCGATGTAGAGTGCCGCATGGTGGAGGCGCCTGGGTAGGCGTCGTTCTCCCTGCAGCCGTCGCCTCAGCAGCAGCAGCGGCGGCGGCGGCTGTAGCAGCAGCAGCGGCGTCGGCCAGGAGCGCCAAGCAATAACGGCGGCAGCCATCACCACGGCCTTTCACCGGGGCCGGAAGGGGGTGGAGAGAGAGCCGCTGTTTAATATTCATGAGCTACGCGTTCGGCGAAGGGGGCGGGGCGAGGCGGGGAGGGGCGGGGCGGCGCGCGCGCGCGTCTTGGCGGGAAGAAGCCAACGGGAGTGCAAGGATCTCGCGCGCGCGCTCATGAATATTGATGAGGGTCGCGTAAGTTCCGTGAATGGAGCACGCGCGCGCGAGCGAGTCTCGCGAGGGCGTCGGGACGCGCGCCCTGATTCATATTCATGAGCGAGCTCGGCCAATGGGAGTGCAAGTATCTCGCGCGCGCGCTCATGAATATTGATGAGGGTCGCGTAAGGTCTGTGAATGTAACGCGCGCGCGAGTCTCGCGTGAGTCTCGCGAGAGCGTCGGGACGCGCGCCCTGATTCATTTTCATGAGGGAGCTCGGCCAATGGGAGTGCAAGGATCTCGCGCGCGCGCTCATGAATATTTAATGAGCTCGGCGGTGGGCGGGATGTTGCCGACCAATCGGATCGGTTGGTGCGCGGGCGGGGGTGGTGTTAACTAATGAATATTAAGTAGGTTGAGTAACTGTAATGTCACGCGCGCATCTCGCGAGGGCATCGGGGACACGCGCTTTCAATTAATATTCATGAGGGAGCTCGGCCAATGAGAGCGCAGGGATATGAGCGCGCTTACCAACATGAATATTCTATTCTTAGTTTTTTCGGTAAAGTCACGCTGAAGGGAAACAACAAAATAATAAAAATATATAAAACAATAAAAAATAAATAAAAATATTCTAATGAGAATGAGCTTATGAATATTCAGCAGCACTACGAAATCCGCCAATCCGGTTGGCTGCGAGATTTCGTGAATATTTAAAAAAAATGTATTCGCGTTCACCCCCCTGGAAGGTCGTCCGCCTAATTAATATTCATGAGGGAGGGGCGTGGTCCGTCAATGACCACGTGGTCCGTCAATGACCACGTGGTCCGTCAATGACCACGTGGTCCGTCAATGACCACGTGGTCCGTCAATGACCACGTGGTCCGTCAATGACCACGTGGTCCGTCAATGACCACGTGGTCCGTCAATGACCACGTGGTCCGTCAATGACCACGTGGTCCGTCAATGACCACGTGGTCCGTCAATGACCACGTGGTCCGTCAATGACCACGTGGTCCGTCAATGACCACGTGGTCCGTCAATGACCACGTGGTCCGTCAATGACCACGTGGTCCGTCAATGACCACGTGGTCCGTCAATAACCATTCGTGAACACAAAGCAGACCTTAACCACGGTAGGACCAACACCTCGGCCGTGGCAGATCATTGTTATAATTCAGTAGGTTCACATGACATTGACTTCTCCAAGACAGAGGTTCTCTGCAACCCATCTGGCTACCATGAGAGATTCGTTCATGAGGCTATCCACATATACAAGCACAGAGACAATTTCAACCGAGAAGATGGATTCTATCTTAGCAATCATTGGAAAGATTTGATAAACTATTTCAGGTCTTAATTGATTGTTCACGCTTACAGTGGCTTTCAGACAGCATACATTATAAAATAAAAATAAAAATTCGTCTCCCCCACTTCTCTTTTCAGAATATAGATGGACTAGTCCTTCTAAATAAACTGCCAAATCGCTGCGCGTGGCGCTAACGTTTTTTTATATAAATGCACCGTTTAAAAATATATATAATGCACCGTTTAAAAATAAATTAATGCAAACCAACACACCTGAAGATGACCGTTTGTGTTATGGTCGAAACGTCGTGAGAATTTTTATAGTTTTATATATATTTTATTATTTTGTTGTTTCCCTTCAACGTGACTTTACCGAAAGAACTAAGAATAAAGTATTATTCTCGTGGTTTTCACACCTGATGATGATTGCTTGTGTTGCGGGCCGAAACGTCGTGAGAATTTTATTGTTTCAAATTTTTATTATTTTTTTATTGTTTCCCTTCCAACGTGGTGACTTTACCGAAAGAACCAACAATATGAATCCCTGCAAGTCTCGAAAGCTTTAAATAAAAATGTAGTATTATTCTGGATTAGTATGAGTATACGGACAGTGGATTTTCCACTGGCATCCTCCCCCGTAGCTGATGCCAAAGGAATTTCCCAATGTCCCCAGAGCCACAGAGACTCTGAGGACATCACAGGCACTGTTGCCAAACCACAGTTAATCACTCAGCATTTAATCACTCATCTCTAACAGCCTCACCACTGCCCCATAGACTCAGTCTCAGTCTATGGGGCAGTGTTGAGTCTATGGTGCAGTGCTGAGTCTATGGTGCAGTGTTGAGTCTATGGTGCAGTGTTGAGTCTATGGGGCAGTGCTGAGTCTATGGTGCAGTGCTGAGTCTATGGGCATTGTTGAGTCTATGGTGCAGTGTTGAGTCTATGGGCAGTGTTGAGTCTATGGTTAACAGTGTTGAGTCTATGGTGCAGTGTTGAGTCTATGGGCAGTGTTGAGTCTATGGGGCAGTGCTGAGTCTATGGTGCAGTGTTGAGTCTATGGGCAGTGTTGAGTCTATGGTGCAGTGTTGAGTCTATGGGCATTGTTGAGTCTATGGTGCAGTGTTGAGTCTATAGTGCAGTGTTGAGTCTATGGGCAGTGTTGAGTCTATGGGGATTGTTGAGTCTATGGTGCAGTGTTGAGTCTATGGTATAGTGTTGAGTCTATGGTGCAGTGTTGAGTCTATGGTGCAGTGTTGAGTCTATGGGGCAGTGTTGAGTCTATGGGCAGTGTTGAGTCTACGATGCAGTGTTGAGTCTATGGGTAGTGTTCAGTCTATGGTGCAGTGTTGAGTCTATAGTGCAGTGTTGAGTCTATGGGCAGTGTTGAGTCTATGGGGATTGTTGAGTCTATGGTGCAGTGTTGAGTCTATGGTATAGTGTTGAGTCTATGGTGCAGTGTTGAGTCTATGGTGCAGTGTTGAGTCTATGGGGCAGTGTTGAGTCTATGGGGCAGTGTTGAGTCTATGGTGCAGGGTTGAGTCTATGGGGCAGTGTTGAGTCTATGGTGCAGTGTTAAGTCTATGGTGCAGTGTTGAGTCTATGGGGCAGTGTTGAGTCTATGGTGCAGGGTTGAGTCTATGGTGCAGGGTTGAGTCTATGGGCAGTGTTGAGTCTATGATGCAGTGTTGAGTCTATGGGTAGTGTTGAGTCTATGGGCAGTGTTGAGTCTATGGTGCAGTGTTGAGTCTATGGGCAGTGTTGAGTCTATGGGCAGTGTTGAGTCTATGGGCATTGTTGAGTCTATGGTGCAGTGTTGAGTCTATGGGCATTGTTGAGTCTATGGGCAGTGTTGAGTCTATGGTGCAGTGTTGAGTCTATGGTGCAGTGTTGAGTCTATATGGTGCAGTGTTGAGTCTATGGTGCAGTGTTGAGTCTATGGTGCAGTGTTGAGTCTATGGGGCAGTGCTGAGTCTATGGTGCAGTGCTGAGTCTATGGTGCAGTGCTGAGTCTATGGGCAGTGTTGAGTCTATGGGCAGTGTTGAGTCTATGGTGCAGTGTTGAGTCTATGATGCAGTGTTGAGTCTATGGGTAGTGTTGAGTCTATGGTGCAGTGTTGAGTCTATGGGGCAGTGTTGATTTTATAGACTCAACACTGCACCATAGACTCAACACTGCACCATAGACTCAACACTACCCATAGACTCAACACTGCATCATAGACTCAACACTACCCATAGACTCAACACTGCACCATAGACTCAACACTGCACCATAGACTCAACGTTGGTTGCTATGGGGGGAGGGGTGACTTCCGGGTCTGGTCACCATGGCGACGCGCCTCAACAAAGGCCTAGGCGACGAGGCCTCGGCTAGGTGAGCCCGCGGCCTGGAGTTAATTTTTGTTCGTTTCGAATTCCCCGTCAAACTTCGTGGAAATTAACTTTTAATTTCACCTTTTTAAGAGCCTAGCAAAGGTGGGGCGAGTGCCGAGGTCGCCTCAGTTGGCGGCGATTTATAATTGTGGTTAAAAAGGACCCAATCTCGCGTCTGCAAACCAGCTGTGCCTTCAGGTAATAAGTATTGTAAGTTAATTTGATTTTAAACATTTAGTGTACAATTATTGCCAATTTTTTTTATCCTGCACAGGTTCGTGAACAAGTGTTACGTTGGTTTGCAAAAGGGCGCTGTTTTGTTTCGCAGATGTTGTTAGTTAAGGGAATGTTTAACTCGTGTAACGTCTCAAGCACATTGCGAAGCAGGGACTACTCACACACACACACTGAGTCACTCACTCACACACTCACTCACACACTCACTCACCCACTCACTCACCCACTCAGTCACCCACTCACTCACCCACTCACTCAGTCACTCACACACTCACTCACTCAGTCACCCACTCACTCACACACTCACCCACCCACTCACTCACCCACTCACTCACCCACTCACCCACACACTCACTCAGTCACTCACTCACTCACCCACTTACTCACCCACTCAGTCACCCGCTCACCCGCTCACCCACTCACTCACCCACTCACTCACTCACCCACACACTCACTCAGTCACTCACTCACACACTCACACACTCACTCACTCACGCACACACTCACTCACACACTCACTCACTCACCAACACACTCACTCACTCACCCACTCACTCACTCGCTCACCCACTCGCTCACTCACTCACCCACTCATTCACCCACCCACACACTCACCCACTCACTCACCCACTCACTCACCCACTCACTCACCCACACACTCAGCCACTCACTCACTCACCCACTCACTTACCCACTCACTCACTAACTCACTCACCCACTCACTCACTCACCCACTCACTCACCCACACACTCACTCACCCACTCACTCACTCACCTACTCACCCACTCACTCAGCCACTCACCCACTCACTCACTCACCCACTCTCCCACTCAGTCACCTACTCACTCACTCACCCACTCACTCACCCACTCACTCACCCACTCACTCATCTACTCACTTAGCCACTCACCCACTCACTCACCCACTCTCCCACTCAGTCACCCACTCACTCACCCACTCACCCACTCTCCCACTCAGTCACCCACTCAC